GGGCGACAAGCTTCTGGTGGACCGTCAATGGTTTTGATGTAATGACAAGTCGTATGTTTAATTTTTCTAGTCCCTGTTGTTGCTTTGGTAATGTTTGGAAACTTTGCTAGCAAGGCGTGATATTTATTTCTATTTTCTAACACCTTGATTGACTCTACCTTTCCTGAATCAGCAATTCCCTTGGTTTGTATTTTAGTACAACCATCCAAAAGAATTCCTTTTTGCAGATCTGGGAGTAGATGATAGTTTGCCAAAAAGTCAGCTCCTATAATTGGTTGAGTCACATTTGCAATTACAAATCTCCATGGAAACTCTCGTCGTAGTCCAATTTTTGGGCTTAAGGTAACCCAGCCGAATGTTTTGATTAAAGAGCCATTCGCCGCAAAGAGTTCGTAATTTGATTTCTTTATGAGTCCTACTACCATAGTCCTTGGATATACGCTTACATCTGATCCTGTGTCAACGAGGAATCTTTTCTTGGTCTCTCTACATGTGACGAAGAGTCGACAAATCTTTTGAGATGGTTGATCAATCTCCATTAGGGATTGCCCTGAGTTGTTTTTTTTTCTTCCGTTTGGTAAGAACAAGGCTCAGTGCATTTTTTTGCTTTCTCTCCAAATCGATTATGATAGAAGCAGTATTTTTCATTGAATTCTTTTTTTCTGGAGGAACTTCTGCTCCTACTCTGATTTCTCCATCTACCACTTTTTCTTTCTCTACTTCTTGAGAGATGCGTGGTTAAATTTGCTAATTGTTTTGTCAATTCTTGTACCTGCTGTTCCAAGGTTTTTTTTGGAGTTGTCGAGGTAGCAGCAACTACAAGGGTTTTGCTAGACATTTCATGGATCCGGTCTGCTTGTTCTGCAACATTATTTAGCGGATCTTCTAGTCGTGTAGCGAGGACCATCTGCATTTGAATCGGAAGTCTTCCAAGCCATAGTGTTCGTAGAAGGGAATCTGGAACATTATTTCCAGCAAGTGTTCGAAGGTGTCGAAGAAATTGTGACGGTTTTCTGTCTCCTATCTCTTCTAGTTCGAGCAGCTGTCGGGTTCTTTGTTCCTGAGAGATTGACAATCTCTGTATCAGTGCTTTCTTAACTGCTTCATATTTGTTCGTTGCCGGTGGTTGTGTAATAATATCTTTTATCTCTTTTATTTGTCGAGAATCCAATTGCGAAAGGGTGCAGGCATATTTCGTTGAGTCCGCAGTAATTCCACTTAGTGTGAATTGTCCTTCAAGTT